GGTAAGGGGGATGCTTACTGGGTAACCAGCTCTCCATTAACATCTCTAGCACAGACTATTTAGTAATAAATGACTCACTTCTATAACTCATGTTTCTGATCTAATGAAGAGCCATAGATGTGAATGAACAATGCCATCACAACAGTGAGATTGGACTCATTATTTTTAAAATATAATTAATGTACCAATGATGGTAGTGAACAACAATCCCATTTACTTATGAACCTCCTAAATCTGGACTCTCTAATCTGGTAACATCTGTGATCTAGAAGGCAGGACCACAGATGTTGCTGGACAATAGATCCCCAGAGATGAGAAGCATGAGTCAGCTGGGAATACCGCAGGTATTGGGGAGCCCCAGTTGGGCTGGCAGGGGATGATCTTGTGGTGGGTGGGGAGTCCAGCTCTGAGGAGCCCCAGACCGGGAAGCTCCTGCAGTGGCTGAAAGGACTTCCCAGTCTTAACTGGGAACCCCAACAGCAGCGGAACTGGCAGCAGCCAGGAGGAATCCCCAGCCCTGGCCAGGAACCCAGGCGGCAGCTGAGCTGGAGACAGGTGTGAGGAATCCCCAGCCAGGAGTCCCAGTGGAAGCAGGACCAGTGGCAGCTGGGAGGAGGGGTGGTATCCCTGGCTAGAGCAGGACCAGTGGCAGTCAGAAGGAATCCCTGGTCCCAGCCCGGAACCCTAGCAGCAGTCTGAGAATCCTAGCCCAGCGAAGGTGACCCTGGGTACTTCAGCATGGGGCCAACTGAGGGGAAAGAAGCTCAGGCTCCCAGGATGCCCATAACCCAGAAGGGAGCCTCGACCTCCCCTAGTCTGGCAAACTCCGTGGTCGGTACCACTCAGGGTGCCGGACCAGGGAGGTCCACCGTGCAGTAATGATTATTTACACTTTCCACTGGAAGCAACTTGGCCTAATGTAGTCCATAAAAAAAGACCATAAAATGTAAGGCCATAAAAAAAAAAAAAAAAAAAGAATTTAAACTTGAAAGAAAAAAGTGACTCAGAAGAAGAGCAGTGGAACAGCTTATCGTGGAACATAATCCAGCAACCATTCTTCACTCATGCTTGAAAGTTGTGAAAAAATAAAACAACTGTTTTATACATTTGTATAATGTAATATTTAGTTTGCTATTTAAAATAAATTAAATTGTATTATTTTTAAATTAGCAAAATTTTAAAAATCAGCAAAAGGGTAAAAGATGGTGTTATACATATACTGTTTGAATATTATAAAAGTTTTTATAACCTAAACAAATTTAGTTTCAGTGTGTTTGGTTCTTGCAAATTTTATCAAATAGACTTGATACACTTTTGTAATAGTATGTTTTAATTTTTAAGAAATTAATGATCTACGAAAAAAGCATTCCGTGCTTCCAATTTTCACAATTTTATCAAAGGTATCATGATTTTTTGTGGATTTCATAAAGCGTACCCTTTAGAAACCTAGAACCAGGTAAGAATGCCAGCTTTCATTTTAAAGGCGATTCTGGGCCTCGGTTGCGAAGAAAACCTTGAAAATATAACTGGAGAGCACCATGAAGGCTCAAAAACCAGAAAGCAAATAAAAATAAATCCATTGCTTATTTTTTGTTGTTGCATTAAAACATTAATTACTTAAGACAATCTCAGTGGTGGCAGGAATGACTAAATTATTTTTATACATTCAGGGTTAGAAATACTTAAATATATACTGGAAAAATACAGTTCACATGGCCCCTGTTTCATAGGTAATATACTCCTGTTTAATAGGTAATGAATAGAAATGAGACTTTTAAAATGTAATTCACTGATCCACACATCTTTTCATTGGCAAATTGACTTTTACTACAGGTAATTTGTGGTAGCTCTTTTGTTGTCCGTTTTTTGTTAAAAAACTACTAGGGGGCTATGCCCCCTGCCTGCTATACTCGCCAACCTGCCCTCCCCTGGAGGATAGGTGTCTGGCCGGGGGGAAGGGACAGGAGCAGCACCTACTGAGGATAGGTGTTTGGCCGGGGGGAGGTGGCAGAAGTGGGTTGGGAGTGCAGGGTCTCAGCAGAAAGAGGTGAGGAATATGGGCAGGTTGGGCTCAGCTGGAAGAGGGGACATGGGGCGCCCAGCCTCAGATGGCAGAAGGGATGCGGGGTGGCCAGAGAGGGGGGTTGGGCTTGTATGGCAGAGGGAACCTAGCTCCGATAGCTCTTCCTAGCAGCACAGCCCCGAAACATGAAGCAGGAGCCAGAGATGGAGAAGCCCATGCTTGGAGGGAATGACGCCAAGGGTGGCCAGAGCAAGCAACCAAAGATGGAGACAAAGGCAGAGGTGGCGTTATGTGGACACTGATGACATCATTCTGTCATCCCGCAGGAAAAAAAATTATATAGAGAGACACAATAACTTAAACAGTCATGTTCTCTGATCCCATCGTCAGGGGCGGCCCGTGACTGTAGGCCAACTTGGCCATTGCCTAGGGTGCCACCTTCAACGGGGCACCCAATGATGACATCACGGGGCGGCCGGGGCGCCCAATTATGACATCACTCCACGGATGGCCGTGCAGACGGGGGTGCCAATCATGTGTTCTGCCTGGGCTGCCAGCTGCCGCAGCCCGCCTCAGACCGCTTCTGCCCATCATACTGACATTCAGGCAAATGAATTAATGATCATTAGGGTCTCAAAATGTAAGTTGGTAGTAAAGACAAACTTATTTACCATATTAATTAAATGGTCTATTTAACATGGAATATCAATTCTCTAATCACATCTCATTTGAACTTATTTCAATTAAGAACTCTAAAGTCTACCAACAGAGATCCTACTGTTCTAGCATCATTAAGAACATTTTCATTATCTGTCAAATGAGGGAGTAAGAGGCAGAAACTGCAAGCACTCTCAGGAGTAGGCCTCTACCCCTACTTAAGAGATGATTAGAGAGTAAGCAGCAGTAGTTCTCGTTAGTTGCTTAGCAATGAAAATCTTCCTATTTAACAAGAAATGAAAGCAAGAGAGGTGTTGACATGCAAATCAATAAATGGATAGTCTTTTATCTACTCAAGGGTAATCTGTCCTCCATTAAATCTAATCAATCTAGATTAGGATATTGATGGGATAATTCAAAGAGGAGGAGGAGGAGGAAATATATATGTTATATTTTGCCTAAAAACTCTGCAGCAGATAGAATGTTCTGCACGGTTATCCATGCAACTGTGATTGTTTTCAAAATGTATTTCAAAAGTAATTGAAGGAAATGTAAAACAGCTTTTACTTCAAATATATTATTTTCCACTCTTGTTGTTCCTTACCCTTAATAATGACTTAAACTTTTACATTTATTCTATACAATACACACACACAAACTAGAAAATAGATTAAGAATTTAAAATGGAAAAAGCTACTCTCTCAAATATGTCAGTTCTTTACATGAGCATAATCTAATACTTCAGTATTAAACTTTTAGAATAGATTTCCCTTCAATAATTTAGTTATAATGCATAATAAAATGATGGTAAAACTATTCCTGGATATTTTACAGTTTTAACAGAAAAACAGTCCTTATAAAAACATTCCCTACTCTTTCTGGTCATAATAAGGATTAAACTGTAGTTAAAAGACAAAATTTAACATAAGGTATGTCTTAATTATAAAAAGTCCAGCAGGCCTCAGCTTTGCCCTCTGGTCAATGAAGAACTCCTCCTATAGGATCTGTATGCAGACAAATTTTCGGAGTACTACTGTGGTCAATTATACCTACACAAATTAGACTGCTGGATTAGGACCTTAGTTAACAACATAGGTCTAGATACTTTAAAGTGACCATTATAAAACACTGAGGAGTCTTGCGTCACCTTAAAGCTTGGGTGGGTATGATATAGCCCGTGGTCTGAATATGGACCACCAAGCTGCTAGATCCAGCCCATGGGCCACCCAATTTGGCCCAAAGGCTGCCCAGGCACAGAGCAGCCAGCAGCCCCAAACTGCTTCAAGCAGCTGGCCATTCCCTGTGGTTCTATGCTTCAGGCGCCTGAGGGAGACTTTGCAGAAACCTGCCAATGGGAGCAAAGAGGTTTTTCTAGGGGCAAGCGCAGCGCAGGGAGCAGCCAGCCATTTTGAGCATCCTAAGACTGCAGCAGGCAAGGAACCTGCCTCAGGGTTCTACAGGGCTGCTGTCCGGGAGCCACATAGGTAAGTGCCTCTTAGCCACAGCCTGCCTCTAGCACCACAGCCCTCCTTCCTCCCCAACTCCTTGTCCCAGGTCACCATCTAAACCCTCTGCACTCCCATTCCCTCCTCCCCCAGGTCACTCCCACCCAGACCTTGGATCCCTTCCCCCTAAGCCAGAATCCTCTCCCATACCCACTCCCATACCCTTCACCCCATGCCTCTGCCCCAGATCACAACCCTCTCCCTTCACCCAAAATTCCTCTCAGACCCAACACTATCTCCTGTACTCCAGTCCCTTAACCCAAGCTCCTCTCTTCACTAAGCCTCCATCCCAGACCCCACACCTTCTCCATAGAAAACTGTGACCCATAACCACTTACCCAAATCTTGGAGTGGCCCCCCATAAAAATTATTACCCATCACCTGCCTTAAAGACTAACTCATTTATTTAGGCACAAGGTTTCATGGGGAAACTCTTTAGCAGATCTACATTTGATGAAATGGAGTTTTACCCACAAAAGCTTATGCCCAACTAAACGTATTAGTCTTTAAGGTGCCACAGGATTCTTCATTGATTCTGCAAATACAGACTAGTACAGCTAGCCCTCTAATGTTTTTCTTTTTAAACATGTAAATAGTCTTAGTTGTAAATAAACTTTCTCTTCACATCTACATATATTTAAGGGAATCACATGTTATGTAGTTATATTTGCCAAATATACCATCCTCTTAAAGACCACGTGACCATTTATATGCTCAAATGTAATTTATGTATCCAGTTAAACCATTACACTAAAATGCAGGTATTATTCTGAAATCACCTCCAAATTGTAATTAAGCATTGTGCAAAATCTTACCTATATATTCGCAAACGAAGACTACAAAAAAAGGAGTAACAAGGTCATTTATTCCCTGAACATATCCACTGGCTGGATGACGTATTGCCCAGATAAACAAAATTCGTTCAAAAATCTGAAAGAGAGTTGAAGAAACTGTGAAGCAAGGAATTTATCCAATGGTGAGTACATTTTAAACATGATATTTGAAAAGCATGAAGGACAAATTTAATATCATAGGCAAAAACTAACACCAAAAGTATGCATACTGAAGCATAACTGAACACTGGTATTCATAATTAACTGTCAATGTTCATTAAGTTTCTCAGTTATTTAAAGAAAGCACTTTCATTACATTAATACATGTTAAAACCAACCTTGTATATAATTCAATTATGTTAGTTACAAAAAAAGGAGAACTTATCACTGGAGCTTTTATAAAAGCAAGATTTCCCCCCTTTTGGAATTTTATAATCACCTTTCCACAATCTTCAAATCCCCCCTCACAGATAAATATATTACTAAGAACCATACTTTGTACTTTTCCAAAATGCAGAGATCTAGTCTTATTTCTGGCATAGGTTACAATATTTTTACAATATTTCATCCCCTAAAAAAAGGGTATAGTTATGCTCGATTAGCACTGCCTAGCACCCTCCCAGAACATGTAGGGTCATTAAATCTCTGAAAACTAGGGAATGTAGAGTCAAAGCAATATCTCCCACATCATACCCACACAGAACTTTAACACTGACCTCTTCGAGCAATGCCCTAACATGTGCTTGTCAGAAAAAATTTCAGATTCTTATTAGCATTTCATTGTATGGGTTGCATATAAAGAACCATTTAACTAATAAGTGACCTTAAACGCTCCCCATAAACTTGACCTGAGGCCATATCGATGTTCTCAGTATTACCATGGCACAGCTGCACCACTGCAATTCTGTTGCTGTAGCTTCCAGAAGACAGACAATTCCAAACTCAACAGAAAGGGGGGGTTTTACCCTATCATTTCAGTTAGGTTGATGGAAGAATGCGTCTGTAGATCTTGCTGTGTCTATGCTGGGAATTTGGTTATTTTAACACCCCACTCCAGGACAGTGTTCCCTCTAACCTGTGGGGCAATACAGCTTCACAAATGATTAATCAGCCACAATTGGAGGCTCAGGGCTCCCTGCAGGAAGCTGACTGACTGGGAAGGGCTCAAGCACCTGTGAAGCTGTGCTGTGCCACTGCTGCCTCTGCCCTCACCCCGTGCAGCTTAGCATCTTAGAGGGAACACTGCTCTAGGGCAAGAATTTTTCACAACAAAGCTAGGCTGATTTACATGTAGACCTGGCCTAAGCCCCTCTTACAACATGCCACGTATCAAGATGATTTCCTATGCACATAGGTTTAAGATCACTTTGAATGTAAAAGTCACATCTTCATCGAGGGCTACATCTGAGACACGTCCCCTACCAATAACTCCACACTTGTACCATCAACTGTATTTCCTCGCCACGATGAGACACTGCAACTGTCAAAACAACTTAGGCATATGAATTTTAAAATACTTTAAAAATACAAGTTCAAACAAAAGTTTCTGCCCATGAAGCAAAACATCCAAAAGAACAAACCACTGAAGCCTGAAGTCAAACCTAGAATGCAGGTGTCGAGTAGTAATATGCACAGCAGGCACAAATATGTCCACAGCCAGACTTGGATTCACAAGTCCTTAGATGGTGCTTGGCTTTATTATCTACAGCATACTGCTCTGAGGCATCCAGTGACTCACATCAGGAAAGCCTATATATACTGTTGCTCATCACAGAGCAGCAGTCTGACATTAGATCTACAAGTCACTTTCTTTAGTGTAGACCTCTGGTGGTTAATGCTTTATAAATCCAATTCAATCCCATAAAAACAATAAAAAATGCTTGCTGGGTGCTGGACATTAGCCAAGATCAAACTTGTTCAGGAATATCAGTTTTGCATCTTTGAGAAGAGGCATAAATGTGGATGCAAATAAGGTACAAAAAATGAAGAAAAACAAATAAAATTCTCAAATTACTCCACATTTGCACTATTAATACCACAATGTATGGCAATTTAATACACTGTGAGCATATATGTGAATTTTAGAGCACTTGGAAATAGAGATGTGAACACTTAAACTCTTACCAGGTAAGCATCACCCTTAACAGGCTGCAGTGCTCCCCCTCCCCCCCATTAATCAGTTAACTAATTAAACAGAATTTTACATCCCAATTTGCTATGTGAAAGAGGTCACCAGTACATAAGTTTCAAAACTAGTGCATTATTCTTACTTACTATATGTATACAATATTCTTACTCATACTTATCTCTATGCTATAGCGTTACAACGGACCCAACCCTGAATTGTACCAATCAACCTGCCTGTATACAGTTTTCTTAAGAGCAGAACTGATCATTACTGTGAATGTACAGTGACAATGACTGAATATTAGAGAGGGCTGCTTTCAGATGCAGTTGGGGATTGGCATAAAGCTAATCTGCAAGGCAAAGTAAGGGCTGGCAGAGCTCTGAGGAGATTGTTTGGGTGGATGAAAACCAATTATATTAAGGAACAGACACGCAGTTAAGCACCAGCAATCCTCTTCTATGAGGCCAAGAGGGTGAACAAGGTGACTCAGAGTCCTGGGCACTTCAAGACAAAGCTTAGCACTAGTCACCATGAAATCTGTTCTCACAGTGCTCCTGATTAATCAAATGGGAGATCCTCCAGCATGATTCCTAAACTAATAACAATCAAACACTGGGTTGCTAATTTGAAATTCAAAACTGAACCTTGTGAGATTTGCCCATTTCCTGCCTATTCTTCCTTTGGTATGAGTTAACTCATTAGTATTAATGAGAATTACATGCATGTATCAAAGGACATTCTAAACAAATATTCAACAATCTTAAACATTAACTTTGAATTTCCTTGCAATAATCACAGTAAAGGAACTCAGGCCTTGAATAATTTTCAATACGTTTTCATCATAGATATCTTCTTTTTGCATTAACCAGAATTAAAAAGGGCAAAAATAAAAATAAAATTATTGCACCATGAAGTTGAAAGTTCCTCTGAACTAGATTTCTTTTCATACAATCTGTACATCCATGATAGGTGTCTGAAGGAGCTTTTACAATCAAAAATTGCACAATCTAATTCAATATTTAACAAGCACACTGACAATAAATCACAGAAAGAACAGCTATCATGGCCAAGAAAAACCATTTAAAGCATGCCTGTAACAGTTATTAATTCCTCAAATATAGTGCTAATTATGAATATATTGGCAGACAACTGTAGCAGCTCTGCATAAGTCTTATAGTATCTAATATTGCTTCTTTTTTATGGGCATGAGTTAGAGATTCAACTCCCTCATCCTGGGCTTTTCTCTTTTAATTCCTACTTTAGCCAGCAGAATCTTCACATGACAATTTCTGGTAAAAGTAAATACAAAAAACTGATTAGAAAGGAGCAAACATTCCTTGTTTGTTCAACCCAATTCCAAGAAGGTAACTTTTCTTTAATCTATGCCTTTGATTGCTGGAAATGCAAATACAAATATGGACAAGAAATAAAATCCGCAGTTAATAGATACCATGAGGAATCAGCTTGGGGACTAAGACTCAGACAGCAAGAACAGACACAAAAGCAACTGCATCACTCACTTTTGGAGACAGATACTTTCTAAAGCTATTATACTCTAAATCAGGGCTACTCAACTTTGGAAGCCCCGGGGGCCACGACGATACCCATAGCACATGCTGAGGGCCGCAACTTAAGTGTGGTTGCATGTACATGCAAATATATATGCAGATGTATGCAAATAGCTTCTTTCACACTAATGGGCATGAATACAGAGATTAAGCCTTAAGCCATGACACTGGATCTAAACATGGCCTGTGTGAGCCAGTCAGCACCTCTCAGGCTTTGTCCACAAGGTTAAGCATCGAGCGCTTCCCACAATTCCCTAGCACTCCCAGCACCTCCTCCCTGAAGGCTAGAAATGCTGACACCCTGTACCCATCTGTTCCAGCCTGCCCATATGCTTTTGTCTTTCAATGCTCACCCTGTCTGGGAGACACCTTGCCGTTGTGGACTGGGTTCCCAGTGGAGGCCATATTTAAAGGATCCCACCCACAGGCCACATGTTGAGCCCCACATAAACCCAAATGGCACCATGGGCTGCAAACAAATGGGCCAAGGGCCGAGTCACCCTGCTCTAAATATTCTTGGCTGGTTGTTCCCAACCTGCCTTCACTCTGCTTCCATCCAGGCTTCTTCCTTTCTTCTTCTCCTCTTTCAATAATTCAGGGCACGTCTAGACTATATGGCTCTGTCGACAGAGCCATGTAGATTAGGGTTGTAGGCAAAGGGAAATGAAGCGATGACTTAAATAATCGCCACTTCATTTAAATGAAAATGGCTGCCACGTTGTGCCTATCAGCTGTTTGGCGGCACAACGCTGTAGTCTGGACGCTCCACGGTCGACATCGAAGTCATTTGTCGACCTCCCCGTTATGCCTCGTGGGATGAGGTTTACTGGGGAGGTCAACAAATGCCTTTGATGTCGACCACAGAGCGTCCAGATTACAGCGCTATGCCGCCAAACAGCTGATCGGCACAGCGCGGCAGCCATTTTCATTTAAATGAAGTGGCGATTATTTAAATCGCCGCTTCATTTCCCTTTGCCTACAACCCTAATCTATATGGCTCCATCGACAGAGCCATGTATTCTAGATGTGCCCTCAGTTATATTGTTCTGTTTGGCAAGGTAAAAGATGATTCTCCATATACTTCAGGAAAAATTGTTCTGCATATTATTGTTAATGTAAATGAAAGAATTGTCTTAATTCACATTAAACTAATAGACTGACACATTGAGAACATTTAGGAAAAAAAATGTACAAATACGTTTATTTAAAAAATGGTGATTGAAGAAAATGTCACCTATCTTTCGTTTATAGGTTTAACAGCCAGATCAGTCTCTCTCCTTTTCATGTTATTCTAAGCTTCAAGTATCTTTTATACATGTTTGCAAAGATATAATGAGAGATACTTTATTTCTACTACTTTGCTCTTCAAACATACATAACATAGGGGAAATATCAAGAGGT